TTTATTTATTTATTTATTCATTTTTACTAAATTAAATTAAGAAACACTTGATTTTTCCCAGAGAGAAATTAAACTTTATTAATTTTTACAGCCTTATTTGGTCTCCTCAGATTCAGTTTTGGCTATTTCTAATTTTCTAATAAATGCATATAATTTTGAGATAATTCATGTATATATTTGTGTACCCTTACACTGTTTTTAATCTGTTTTTTTATTGATTATATAATGTGGTTGTCTTTACATGGTGTGCGTGTGGTTTTGCAGTTACTTTCACTGGATTTTGAGGGCGGCTAACAGCAACAGGCTCCTGATGCTGTGGGGTTGGAGTTCTATTCTCTGAGCTGTCAGAAAGAAGGAAGCTGTCAAAGTTGAGAAGAATCCCTGAAAATTAGTCTGATCCACTTCACAATAACCTCATCAAGAACCGCAGCATCAGGCAAAGACTCATTCCCCCAAAGTGCACAGCGGGAAATAAAATACACAGATGAACCCAAATATATGAAAATCTATTCCTCTATCTATCCATCTATTTATCCCTTGATTTATCTGTCTTGAATCAAAGTATTTAAGTGTATTCTTAGTTAGCAACAATAAGTCACAAAGCATAGAAATATACTTTCTTGTTTTCTGGAACTTCCCCAAAATAATATCAGTTATGTTTTTTATATACATATTTGTCTTATTCTACATTTTTTTATTAAACAGAATAATTATCAAAATTTGTGAGGTAAAAATGCAGTCAGAGAGTAAAGAAAGATATTATTATATTAAGTGGAAAAATTCCACCAGAGAAAGTAAGTCTTAAATGTAACTAAATCATTTTTAAGAACTAAACTAAAGAGAGACTAAGGGAACTGTACTTCTGGTGAGACAGAAAGTGGGAACTTGGATCATCTTTTCTTTTTTTTTTTTACCACATGATAGTTCAGAGGTTGTGCTACAACTGAAAGTTGTGGATCCATTTGGAAGGGGTTCATCTACCTGCTCTTTTTCAAAAGAATTCCAATTTGGGATATTTAGATTGGTTTTAACAACTGTGGTAACAACAATGTATTTATACTGGGTAAATATTATTTACTTAAATGTCATTTTATATGTGATATGACATATATTTATGATATGACCCACTGGAAAAATGAACTAAAGTTATATTCCAAATCTGTAAGTTTTGTAAAGGAAAAAAATGCTAGCAAATTTCTTAACATTCTGGTTAACTTCAATGGTCTTGATTAATCCCCTTCTTAATTTTCTTGTCTTACATAAGGCTTTGCATAATACTAGCCCTTTCGTTATTTTAAGTATTTAGTGTAGTATTTTTAATATTTAAGTACATATATATAAACTTTTTACTTTACTTTTTGATATCTTATAAATCGAACTTTGCAATACAAAGTTTTCATTGTTAACGATTGTTTACAACTGTTACCTCTTTGTACTGTAAAATTTTAAATAAAGTTTTTTTAAGTCTTAAACATTGGCTAACGGTAGCAGCTAACATCCGGGAACTAATGCGAGGCTCCGTTAGCGGATATTGCGTCATCGATAAATCCACCACTCAAGTCGCGCGGCTATTGGGCGCATTGATACAGCCGCTGTTCTCCTCACAGGCGGGAACGTAAGTTAGTCCCTGCCAACCGTCCTGTCAACGGAAAATAATTATGTACGTCATTACACAAAATACCGG